CAGGTGCACCTGGATTTGAGTCTGGGCTGTTCCGTGTAATAAGTTCTGTGGCCTTGGGCAAACGCTACCTTTCTAAGCCTGAGAATACTCCTCTGTATTAGATTCTGACAGCGTGTGCCGCACTGGGCTGGTGCGAGGAGGGAATAAGACCCTTAGCTGGGACCCGGTGTATCAAAGGCACTCCGACATGATGAACGTTCACAGCAACCTCCCCCATGCCCAGGGACGAGGTCTCCGCCCACCATATAGGTCTTGTCTCCTGGTTGTTCCTGCACATAGGAGCACGTACCCCTGCGCTCCTGGGGGCACCCAGCCAAGCAACGACCATTATGTGAATATGTGTGTTCTCTGGGAGCTCCCGGAGGGCTGGAGTGCCGTCTTGCCCTGCTTGGCATTGTCTCCCTGGCACCTAGCCTGAGCTGGCACATAGTGGGGTGCCACAAGCATTTATCAAATTAATGAGTGAATACAGAATGCTAGTCTCCTGCTCCCTTTTCTCCTTTCCTCCTTCTTTCCTGTTTCTTTGGGCCCGGCCCCCCCCCCCCCCCCCCACTCCCACCGGATCCAGGGCTGGCCTCACTGCCCTCCCTGGGTGGCACAAAGCTGGTGACCAGAACCTAGAAGGGAGGTGAAATGGCCGAGACAGATCTGAGGCGCCTCCTGACACTGCGTGGTGTGGCCAGTGTCTGTCAAAGAGCTGGCACTCCCAGGGGCGCCTGGGTGGCGCAGTCGGTTGAGCGTCCGACTTCAGCCAGGTCGCGATCTCGCGGTCCGTGAGTTCGAGCCCCGCGTCGGGCTCTGGGCTGATGGCTCGGAGCCTGGAGCCTGTTTCCGATTCTGTGTCTCCCTCTCTCTCTGCCCCTCGCTCGTTCATGCTCTGTCTCTCTCTGTCCCAAAAATAAATAAACATTGAAAAAAAAAATTAAAAAAAAAAAAAAAGAGCTGGCACTCCTTTATTTAACTGATGGCTGCTGTCACCTTTCACACCTCTGAGCACGCTTGAGAAATTATACTTTCCTTTCTTTTTTAATCCCAAGGCTCGTTATTATTTTTATTACTTGCAGGATCTCATCCCTTGGTTTAGGCATCCTAAATGAAGGCTGTAATTTATATTCAGCCATATGGTGACTCTTCTAATTTGTTAATCGTTGTTAAACTTTAACCCGCTATGAGATTTTTACCAGAAGGTATCCCATTGCGTGAAGAACCCTTAAAATGGTCTACAGGTTTGTTTCTTCTTCTGAGTCCCACCAAATAAAACCAGTGCCAGAAGACATCCCCCTGCCGTCTGAAAGACTGGTACTCATCCTCCCGAAATCAAGCCATTTCTTTCCCATTATCTTTGGGAGCCGAGGCTAAAGACATGTACGTGGAAAACAAGCAGCAGCAGGCAGTTTGATTTTTTCCCCTTTTTTTTCCTTCAGGAAATTGCTCTCTTATGCAAGAGAAACGCAGGTTCACCCACAGCAGAGCAGTCATATGATAAGAAATCTGTCTGCGAGAGAGGGAAGCTCATTTCCCTCTTTGAGAAGCTGCATTTGTTCGAGGGAGACAAGGAGAGAGAAAGCAGTTTTGCTGGGGGACAGGGAAGAGATTAAGGCATCATGACAAGCACATGGTGTAGAAATGAGCCCAATTAAAAAAACATGAACCCATCTGACCCTCATATGAAAATCCGGAGCTGTCATTGTCCACTCCTTGATTTGAGAGACCAGCACAGTTATTCTGGAGATCATTAAGATTCTGGTGGAATGAGTTCTCTGGTCTTGCTTGTGATTTCCATTTTCTCATTACTGACAGAAGCTGCATTTATGGATCTTTCTCTTTTAAACAGGAGCTTCTCAGACTAATGTTTTAAAAATTGGCCTTCCCAAAAGGTATAATGCCAAAGCTTAAATGGGCTCATCTCGGCTGGTTCTGTGAGACCAGTGCCCCCGCGCCGGGGGGGCCCCGTGGCCCATCTAAAAAAAATTTTTTTTTTCCTTTGGCGATGGGATTCGCAGCCATGGCAGGCAATTAGATTTCAAAGCTGGAGAACTCTGTTGCCCTTTGCCAGGAACTGCTGAAGCAAGCAACACAGCCCATGGGTTTTGAATGCCTGGCCCGGAAGCAGGCCCTCCTGATGCAGCTCTCCCAGGATGGGCTAGAGGAGTGTGTTTGTCTTTGTTCTGCAAAGGGAAATCTAATTTCATCCCCCGAGCCCTATCTGCGTGGTAATTCCGTAGCTAGGCGACACCGGCATTCAAAAGGCTGGGAGATTGCCCACTTTGTGAAATGCTGAGGGTTGGCACGGTCCGGGAGAGGGTCAGCTGCCAGGGAGCAGGTCAGCCCCCGGGCTTGATCCTCAGCCTTCCCCCGTGGCTCCGTTCCTTGGAGGGCTGCTATCTCTCTGAAGACTGAGGGTACCCTTGTGTGCCCAACTCAGCCTTCTCTCTTGCTGCTGGCTGAGTCACGGGGTTTGGGAATGAGATCCGATTTCCAAAGCTGCTGAGAAAATGCCAGCACTTGTTCAAGAAGCAGGCTGGTGCTGTGGCTGGAGCTCTGGACTGGGAGCCGCCTGGAGACAGACCCAGAGTTGGTGGGTCATGTCTGTGACCCCAGACAGTGCTGTGGCTCTCGTGGAGCTTATCTTCTCACGGGGGGGTAGGGTGGTGGGGGGAAGGAAAATACACGACTAAATAACAAGAAAGATACTGGCTAGTGATAAGTGCTGGGATCAAAGTGAAACTAAGCCATGTGAAAGAGCAAGACTGGAGGGCTTCTCTGTGGAGGTGACATTCGTGGTGAGCCCTAATGAGAAGGAGCCAGCCATGCATGCGTCTCGGGGAACAGCATCCTAGGTAGCGGGAACAGCAAGTACAAAGCACCTGAGCAGGGAGTGATCCTGGCACATCTGTGAAGCAGCGAGAAAGCGGGTGTGGCCAGAGACTGGCGAGGGACAAAGGCACGACTGGGGATGAAGCCAGAGAGGTAGGCGCAATGATAGGAAGGAAGTTGGGAGAGATGCTGAATATTTTGTGGTAGTTTTGGAGGCAGAGGAGAGACAGATGATCTGGTCTGTGTTTTAAGAGCATCACCCTGCTTTCTGGATGGAGAGTGGGTTGGAGGGCCTTGAGGCGAGAAGCAGGGCTGCAGGTCAGAAAGCTGCTGCTGTCCTCCACGTGGGGGCAGGAAACAGTTTTGTCTTCCAGTGACAAAGGATGCCTTCCACAAAACAAATAGGCTACCCTTCTTCAAGAAAATGTTTCCAGGGTTTTTGCTCATTCTGGACATCGAAAGCCTCAATCCAGTAGAGAGCTGGCTGGAGGTTATGAGTGCTCTCTGGAGTATGTTTCGCTAACCAGGCCCCAGAAACGCACCTGTGTGCAAAGATCCACTTTCATGGCCACCAGCCGTCCTGCAATAACAAGCCAATGAGAATGGACTTGAGCACAGCATATAGTCAGAGCAGGCCCCCACTGGAACGCCGAAAAGGCCACGTGGGGCACCTCTGATGGTATGTGAGCAAAGCAAAATAACATACTCCATGACTGATTTTGAGGGCTGCGTTCGGACCGCGGGGCCTGATGCTTAGGCGTCTACGGAAATCAGCACAAACAGGGATACGCGTGACGCATGCTATATGCAAATGCCTTACGTATTCATAGAATTCCAAAGTGGTTATCAGTTACACCACACAGAAAGGAGCAAATCATGCGCATTTGATTGTGTGTGATATTGTATACCATTCAGACTCCTTAAATTCTTTGTGACTTAGGGAATCGCTCGCGCAGCTGCCATCATCTGACCAGCTGAAGAACTGTCCAGATGAGCCTATCTCGAAATGTAGAATTATCTGCAAATAAACAAGGGTTGTTTTAAATCAGTAGGTTTGGGGTGATTTCGCGGTAGATAACTGATACAACTAACAATCACCATCCCCGGGTCTGAAGCAGTCACCGTCCCCAGGTCTGAAAGGACATACAACTGCTAGAGACATGTGCTTTAGGAAGGTGGGAACAGGGGAGAAATACCCTAACCTCTCTCTCCTCCCCACTCCCTATTTGTTTTTTTGGGTTTTTTTCCAAAGGCTCCCCCACTGAGCAAACCCAACCAGAACCCAGAGGTTGAGAGAGCCTGGCTGATGCAATCCAGAGAGGTCAACCTTCCAGGGCTGGAGATTGATCTGGAGGTGGGCAGAAGGCACAAATGGAAAGTAGCCAGCATCTGAGGATGAGTGTTGAGTTCTCACACTCCCAATCGGTGCCCGGCCCCTGTGGTCCTGCGGAGCCCTCCATCCTTAGAAAACCCAAACACACGGGGCCAGTTTTTCCAGACGTCACTTGATTTCCTGAAGAAGGGAAAACAATTTGAGACCACTCTGTTGCTGTTTTTCCTGAGCTTTAAGGGGATGATTTTCTCCACAGTCCGTGTTGTGCTGACCACAGCTGGTTGCCCTATACTCCGCATGAAATAGAAGTAAGAATGCAGTGCTCTCCAACTGGACCAGGGACATCATCTGTCACCCTTGCCTCCCAGACCACGGGAGAGCTTTTCAATCATCCTTCAGACTTTAAAGAGCTCCCGGGGGGCGCCTGGGTGGCTCAGTCGGTTGAGCGTTCAACTCTTGATTTCAGCTCAGGTCATGATCTCACGGTTCATGAGTTCCAGTCCCACGTCTGGCTCTGTGCTGACCGTGTGGAGCCTGCTTGCGATTCTCCCCCTCTTTCTCTCTCTGCCCCTCTCCTGCTTGTGCGCGCTCTCTCTCTCTCAGAAATAAATAAACATTAAAAAGTAAAAAAGAACTCCCAGGTCCCTGTTGCCAGTGAGCACCACTCTCCCGGTGCCACCCCGTCTCTGGGACTCTATACATTCCTGCCGCGCAGAATCCCACTGGCAGGTCGCCATGTGATCACAGAGTCAGTGACCTGCAGGAACAAAAGGATCTTGGCGTGGCCGGGGGACACCAAAGATCTGCTCTGGGGCTTGGAAGGAACCAGGGGGACTTGTTCTTTCAACAGGCACCGCTGTGGCAGGAAAAATGAAACCCCCTTTTCAACACTGCCCTTTCATAGTCGCCAAGGAGAGCCTTCGCGAGCTGGTGATAATTTCAACTTCATTCTGGAAATGTGTAAGAGATTGCCATTTTCTTGCCATTTTATCCTGAAATGACATCAGATTGGAGAGTTGCCTCGCTTTTGAGAGTGGCTGGGCAAGGCTCCTGGCGAGGCAGGGCTGGAGGGAGAAGCCTGAAGGGTCTGGGCAGGTTGAGTGATTGAGGAGCAGGAGAGTTTGCAGAAAATTCTGAAAGACAGACAAAGCCAAAGTAACTCTAGCTTCTCGCAGAAGACCCCCAAAGAGGACCAGCCCCAAACAGGACCGGCTGAAGGGAGAGCAGAGGGGAGGCTGCAGGAAGACAACGGGGCGGAGACACAGCCAGCTAGCTCTATTAGAGGTAGAGCCTGACTCCGGGAGGGGCGGGAGCCTCCTCTCCAGTGTTAGCCGCCAACATCGGAAAAGCAGTAGAAGGAATTGGCAAAGCAGCTACTCTCCTGGGAGACAGGCCTAATGGGCCCGTTTCATCTTGGGCCTTATGAGGCTGGGGTCCAGTTTCAGGTAGCGACTCCTTAATGAGGCCCAGCGTGGAGAGGCTGTACAGCTGAGCTATCTATCACACAGCGATAAACAGGGCTCCTCTTGTTTCCTGCCTTTTTCTGCTACAGAATCCAGTCCCATCCATCCTCCTAAGTGACGAGCCATGGTCAACACCCCGTTTTTCCCATCTACGGCTGGAGGATAATGATGCCAGTTCTCATTGTGCTTCTAGACCTTGGGACCTGAGGGACCAGCCTTTTTTTTTTTTTTCCCTGCCAGAGATAGGGAAAGGACGGGCCAGTGTTTCGAACAAACGCTTACCCTTCTTCCAGTTGAATAGACGCGGGGAAGGCTGTGGAAGAGGGAGAGGGGCAGCCTCGAAGGCCCGGCAACCAGGCCAGGAAGAGCATTCAATCCGAGACCTGACATTTGCCTATTGCCCTCTTATCAGAGTCGCTAAGTCACTGGGGCCTTTGTGCCGCGGAATTGGGAAGGAAGGAATGGCCCGGCCCAGCCAATCCCGTGTCCGGCCCTCTGCCCAGGCGCCTGCCATTAGCATTTCCCTGACATCTGACTGATATCTTCACTTCACTTCGGTAAACAGGCCACCTCAAGGCCAAGGTGACAGTGACCTCTGGCGCTGCAAGCAGCACGGGATTCTCCCCGGAGGCCCTGGTAGAGCCCTTTCGCATGGGCCAGGGCTCTTATGTCCCACCCCGCCACCACTCCGCTGAGTGCTGACTAAATAAATAAATAAATAAATAACCGTCCTGGTCCTGCAGAACAGACCGCGGGTGTGCCGGGCAGAGAAAGAGAGGTGAGGAAGGGCAGCAGGGAGGGCTGGGCGAGGCAGAGGGGGAGGTCTGACCTAGAAGGTCGCCTTTGCTTCTCTGCCACTGAGAACAATGCAGCTGCCCAGGAAACACTACCAGAGGCAGCCCGGCTATTAATAGGCTGGAGCACGCGGGCGGCCAAGCTGCTGCATTTCTGATGTTTAAATCTCCAGTGTGAAGTTGCTTGCAGGCTCCGATTTTGCAAAAGACAATTAAATATAGATTCTTTGGGGTGAGGGTTGGGAAGGGTGTGGGTGGAATGTAAGCCTGTGTCGCAATGCTATTTAATCCTGAGTGTTTCAGTGGGTCTACTCACATGCTCGACAGACCTACTTGAGCACGTGAGGTGTGACAAGTGCAGGGTACAACCAGATGAAGCCTCCCCCCGCCCTTGCCCCCAGGAAACCCAGGGGGGTGCAATCACTACTTCCTGCAGGGGCCAGGCAAACAACATACATAAATGATGCAGACGGTGTGAAACAATAGGGAACGGTGGGGTCTGTGTATAAAGCATAGCTGTGTCCTCTGTACAGGCATTGGGGGCTGCTCAGCCCCAATAATTATTACTGTGCAGGCATAACAGCCCAGTTTTGCTATGCCTTATGATTTTTATTTATTTTACATGTTTATTTATTTGGGGGACGAGTCGCAAGCAGAGGAGGGGCGGAGGATCCAAAGCGGGCCCTTGGGCTCTTTGCTTCTGGCAGTGAGCCCCATGTGGGGCTTGAACTCACGAACCAGGAGATCATGACCTGAGCTGAAGTTGGACGCTCAACTGTCTGAGCCACCTAGGTGCCCGATGCCTTATGATTTTTAAAGGAAAGACATACATTTGGAATTTCGTGTGAGGTTTTTTTTTTCCTGGTTTTGAAAAAATATCGTGTGGGCCAAACAAACCACATCTGCAGGCCTGTTGGGCCCAGGCAAGATCTTATAATAACATATGATAAAAGTTGATATAGAAGGAATCCCAGAAGCTGATGAGAGCCTAGAGGTGGGCATTTAACCCATCCAGGGTCGGGGGTGGATAGGCCTTCGTAGTGAAGGAGAACTGTCTGAACAGTGATAATGATGGAATAAATCATGGCAAAAAGTTTGGGGGAACCATTCCAGGCAGAGGAGTAGGAATTTTGCTGGATACATTGCACCTGCCAGCTAAAGACTGGTTCTCAGCCTTTGTTGCAACCAAGGGTGGCCATCTGACAAACGGTGTCTGTCTCATGACCTTAAAGCGTGGGGGGTTGGGTGGTAATCTGCCCTCTCCTCACCCTCCCTGCTTCCATATTGCTGACTGACCTGGCCATCAAGAACACAGATTGTGGAGCTGGTGATGAAACCTCTTTGGCTTTGGTTTCTGTAAAATTGAGATAATATTATCTACCCCATAGGGAGATAGGTTGAAGGATTACTGTCTACAAAGTATTTAGAACAGTGCCTGACATGTACATTTGCCACCCAGGTGTTATTCCATCAATACGGTTCTGCTGACAATATGTTCTGGGTGGGGGGGCGGCAGAGCAAGAAGAGGGCTGGGACCCAGCTCCGGCCTTGCACCTGCACTGATTCGCACAGACGAGTCGACTGCTCTCTCGCTTATGCCACTGCGTTCTGCACCTCTGACGCAGCAGCCCTGCTATCCTTCAAGTGCAATGAGTAATTCAGAGATCGGCTGGGGCTCTTCCGGCCTGTGAAGAAATTGCCTCAAATTGCCCCTCACTGCATAGCCTGGTAAAATCCGGATGGACGCTGATACCCGGTGGCTTGTGGCTCCTGGAAGTTGTGAGCCCAGGTTTCTCTTGTGCCACCCTGTCCCACACCCCATCGTGCCCTCGAGTTCCCACATCAGAGACAACAAGCAGGTACCCACAGGAAGTTTGAGGGGGCTGAGCGGGCTTCACTGAAAAAGGTGGCTGAGTGCCTGGGTAGAGCAGGTATGTGACCACCATGCAAACTCTGAGCCCTCTGCTAGACCCCCATATCTCCCTCTCCCCCACCTTAGGAGCCCGGTTTTTCCAGTTGCCTGTGAAGGCCGCTCAGTGCCCCTACCGTCCTCCGCTTTCAGGGTGCCCAAGGGACGAATGGCCCCGGCTACATCTGCACGGAGGCCTGGCCGGGGGGGGGGGGGGGCGGGCCCCTTGACTGAGAGAGGCAGGGATACGAAGGCAGCCCTACGGACACAGAAGTCCCAAACCTCGGGGACCAGCACAGCAGCCCAGGACATTTCCGCCCAACCTTCCCTCCCTCTCATTTTCACGCAGAGTTCAATTGCGTTATGGTCTGACTGCTCTCTCAGCCATGGCGTTTCCCTTAATAAAACCCTTGTACCTCCGTTCCAGTCTTGACATCTGCTTCTCTGGTAGCAACACACTAAGTTTCTTGGAAGAAGAAAGAGATGTGATTAGTTCTTCCACACTTAGGGGATTTAGTCCATCCCGGGGCCATTTGCATATCTAAAGAGAACAACGCCTCACTAAGAGTGGTATTTCAGACACCAGGAATACATTTTAGTATTGGTAGAGCCCTTCCTGCTGCCCCTGTACATAAGGGTCTGCTCTGTCTTTATACAGCTGGGCGAGTGAGAGTACGATGCCTAGGAGTTGGGAAAGGCCTACAGCTCTGACTACACCCATTTTAATCCCGAGGAGGAAATGGGAATGATCTCATATACCAGTTAGGATGCTTTGGGTAGCAGGTAACAGAAACCCCAACTCCAAATGGCTTAAACATGAAGGAAGATCTATGATCCAGGTAGGGTATCTCCAGGGCTGGATAACTCTGTGTTATCACGCATCTGGTTTCCTTCTGTTCCACCACTCTGGTATCCTAGCCTATCAGTATTGCCCCAGGCCTCTTCCCTCATGGTGCCAAGGTGGCTGCCGCAACCCAGTGGTCGCACTAGATGCAACAACTTTTTGTCAGAGACAAAAAGAGACTGGGTTTTTCTATGTGTCTCATTTTAAGAGTGAGCAAACTTTCCCCAGAGTCCTGTAGCAGGACTGTGGTCAGAACTGTGTTACATGCAATTTTGTATTCGTCATTGTCAGAGGGAGTGGGACTGCATGTTCGGCTTGGACAACTGGGATTTAGTGATGTCTGCCAGGGTAAAAGAAAAGAGAGTGGTAGGATACTTTTTGTTGACTCTGGGCTAGAAGATCTTGAGCCTTCTAGCTCTATATTCTCTGGCTCTTATTTTCTCCTTCCTCATAGTTTATGCTGAGATTTTTTTTTTTTTAATTAAAAAATATTGGGGCGCCTGGGTGGCTCAGTCGGTTGAGCATCCGACTTCGGCTCAGGTCACGATCTCGCGGTCTGTGAGTTCGAGCCCCACGTCGGGCTCTGGGCTGATGGCTCAGAGCCTGGAGCCTGCTTCCAATTCTGTGTCTCCCTCTCTCTCTGCCCCTCCCCCGTTCATGCTCTGTCTCTCTCTGTCCCAAAAATAAATAAATGTTAAAAAAAAAATTTTTTTTTTAAATATTTATTTTTGACAGAGGAAGAGAGAGAGCATGCACCTGCGTGGACACGAGCAGGGGAGGGGCAGGGAGAGGGGGAGAGAGAACATCCTAAGCAGGCTCCACACTGTGGAGCAGAGGCTGACCACAGAGCTTTATCTCGTGAGCCATGAGATCATGGCCTGAGCCAAAATCAAGAGTGAGACTCTTAACCAACTGAACCACCTAGGTGCCCTTACACTGAGATTTTTAAGAGGTAATCTATTGCAGTTAGAAAATTGGCCTCTGATGGACCTGGTAGCTATGTGAGCTCAGGCCTGTGTTTTTTCGAACGCAGTATTGCCACTAGGATTCTTCCGTGGATACAGAACCAGAAAGAAAATCTTGGTCTGTATCCCTTTACAAGTGAATATGTCCTGCTTTGTGTTTTACAGATAAATATAAATACAGGTATGGATACAGATACAGAGGTATGGGTAGTGTGTGCATGCACGCGCGCGCGTGTGTGAATACATCGACATTTAGCATATACACATTCACATCCTCATAGGTGTAGAAAGCGTACCTAATGCATACCAATTCAGTCACTCAGCCATTCAGTACACTGAGGTATGTAGAGTAGGCAAATTCATTGAGACAGAAAGTAGAATGTGGTTTCCCGGGGCTTGGAGAAGGGGGAACAGGGAGGTATTGTTTAATGGCTACAGAGTTTCAGTTTTAGAAGGTAAAAAGAGTTCTAGAGATGGATGGTGGTGACGGCTACACAACAGTATAAATGTGCGTAATGCACCACATTGTGCGCTTAAGAATGGTGAAGATGCTAAATATTGTTAGGTGTATTTCACTACATACAAAAAAATTCAAGCATGTCTATTCCCTGTTCCTGCCTCACTGTGTGTATGCAGTAGGTAGTCAATGAATGAATGAGTCACTGATGAACTGCATGTCTGACGATTCGTTCTTCATATGTGCTGACCCAGGCTCAGCCTGGACTCAGAATCCAGCCCTCGCGCACAAAATTCACTTGCGTCGATTTTACTGACGATTTGTGTGTCGGGGGCACGGTCCCATCCCATAATAGTTCACAGCAAAACCTTGCAGATTTTGACCGCTGGGTAGTTTTCCCCCGTCTGCCCTGTCTCCCTGCTGTCATGCAAAGGAATATTGCTCCCCTCACTGTCAGAATCAGTACATTCTTGGGGCTCCGTAAACACAGTGCCTCCAGGAAACCCGCTTTTGCTAGGTGGTAGTTTAGGGACCACACCTGTTACCAGAATATGCCCCATTCTCTGGGCGGGGGAGGTGGTAGTCTCCTCAGTACCTCTGTAGAGCACAACTCTAGGAGGCAGTCCTCATGGTATATTCTGGAGTTGTGCCCTGGGAAGTAGGCTCTGGAATTCTGTAACAGCAGCCCTGGGTATCTACACTTCTCACCTGCTGTTCCTCAAATATTTGTTCTTACAGCTTTCCCTGAATGTGATTCCGGTGGATTTCATCATTTTGTTCCCCCCCTGGCCCTGCCCCCTTTTTTTTGGGGGGGGGGGGTGGTCATGGGTTTTTATATTGAATGGCATCTGATATCCTTGTAGCAAGAGATGAATGGCTGATAGCTAGATACTTGCTAAGTAGATGCACCGTGAAAAGCACTTAGTGACAGAGTAGATCTAAATTCTCATGAAGAGTTAGATTTCACCATGGAGTTGGCAACATTAATCAGAGAGCATCCCGTCTCCAGCTGACTGGGCCCAGCAAGCCAGGGCACAGCTTCTCAACACCAACCAGGGTGGATTCAGTAATGCCACATTTGGTAAAAAAAAAAAATAATAATCCAAAAGTTGCAGTATTATTATCACTAAGTCAATCCTCAAAATGCTAGCAGAGGTTCGAGACAGGCAAGACTCAGTCTACCTTTAATGGGGCCATACCGTGTCCAACCTGACCCAAGTCTAAGCTTGAGGACACCAGACATCCCTCCAGTCCACTTTATGACAAGATAAAACTGTATTTAAAACCACAGTATAGGGGCGCCTGGGTGGCGCAGTCGGTTAAGCGTCCGACTTCAGCCAGGTCACGATCTCACGGTCCGGGAGTTCGAGCCCCGCATCGGGCTCTGGGCTGATGGCTGAGAGCCTGGAGCCTGTTTCCGATTCTGTGTCTCCCTCTCTCTCTGCCCCTCCCCCCGTTCATGCTCTGTCTCTCTCTGTCCCAAAAATAAATAAACGTTGAAAAAAAAATTTTTTTAAACCACAGTATATCAGTGGTTTCCAAAGCATTTTCTGTTTCAAAAGCCCGAAGCATTTAGCCCCATGTTTCACAGCCCAGGGAAGATGTCTCAGACCTGGCGGTGTCCCTGCCCCCGGGGTGCCTTACCTCCATCTGCTTACCTTTCCATAGCAGCACTTCTTGACCTAAAACTAAAGATTGCTTAAAGCCCGTCTTCCTCCCTTTTGTAGGGAAAAACCCCTAGTTTCTTTTACCCCAATCGATTCTGCCAACCTTATGCGAGGACTAGATGGGATTGGGTTGGGAGTAAAAGCTTTGCTACTCAATGTGTGGGAGTAAAAGCTTTTGCTACTCAAAAGCTTGCTACTACTTTGCTGTTAGGAATGCAGGCTCCCAGGGCCCCAGAGCTACTGAATCAGGCTCTGTTTTGACCAGCTCTCCAGGTGGTTTGTTCACACATCAGTCTTTTCTTTTTTTTTTTTTAATTGAGATATAATTGACATATAACGTTGTGTAAGTTTAAAGGGTACCACATGTTAATTTGATACATTTATTGTATTTATTACAGTGTGATTACCACCATAGTAGTTAGCTAACCACCTTCATCGGGTCGTATAATTATCATTTCTTTCTTGTAGAGAGAATGCTTAAGTTCTAGTTTCTTAGTGACTTTATATAATATAGTATTATTGCCTCTAATCACAATATTGTACATCGGATCTCCAGAACTTACTCATCTTCTTTTTTTTTAATATCAAATTTATTGTCAAATTGGTTTCCATACAACAAACTTACTCATCTTCTAACTGCAAGTTTGTATGCTTTGACCAGCTTCTCTCCAGTCTACCCTTCCCCAGCCCCTGAGAGCCACCATTCTACTCTGTTTCTATGAGTTCAGTTTTTCTAGATTCCATGTATAAGTATTTGTCTTTCTCCCTCTAACTTATCTCACTTAGCATTAGTAATACCCTCAAGGTCTATCCAGGTTGCAAATGGCAGGATTTCCTTCTTTCTCACGGCTGAGTAGTATTCCAGTGTGTGTGTGTGTGTGTGTGTGTGTGTGTGTGTGTGTGCATGAGACACATGTCACATCTTTATCCATCCATCTGTTAACGGACATTCAGGCTGCTTCCCTATCTTGGCCATTATGTAAAATGCTGCAAAGACCCTGGGAGTGCAGATTATCTTTTCAAGATCCTGTTTCTACTTCCTTTGGATAAATACCCAGAAATCAGATTGCCAAAAATCAACAAGTGGGACTGCATGAAACTAAAAAGCTTCTGCACAGCGAAAGAAGCGAGCAACAAAATGAAAAGGCAGAATGGGAGAAAATATCTGCAAACCATCTATTGGATAAGGGGTTAATATCCAAAATATATAAAGAACTCACAGTTCTATAACAAAAAACGTTGATGAAAAACAGGATTACAAACAGAACTATGCACATGAGTCTTCTAGAAGCCCCTGCTGTAAGTCACTGGCACAGATCCAGGCACTCTGCAAGTGCTCAGTGAAATGTTAGTTAATGATTGCAGGGGTTTGAACCTATTATTTTTATGAAGAAAGAATCTCAAATTCTCCTGTGTTGTAAATAGTCTTAAGGCCTTTTAAAGTCACTGTCTTATCTAAATCGAAAATAGAAAGCAAACAAGAAATGAGC